AGTGTTTTTGGGATGTATCAGAATGCGGTCGACCGCATCGGTCGACCGTACCTATATTCATTCCTCACTGGGCAGCAGAGAGTTCGTCGGTCAACCGAGAGCTTCCTTCAGTCGACCACACCGGTCGACCGGATAAGTCTCTGCTTGTTTTTCTCGTTTTTGATCTGGATAGCGGTCGACCGAAATTTTCGTCGGTCGACCGAACTTCGTCGGTCGACCGAACATTTCCATCAGTCGACTGGAATTTCCGCCGGTCGACCGCCGTATTATTCAAACGGTAAAATGTGTCCTTTTTGTGGCGCCGCTCAGTACAGATCTCAGCGACGTTTTGTTCCAGATTTTGGGGGATTAAGGGATGGGTTTAAACAGCTGTTTTTCTCCTATTTAAACTCCACCTCTTCTTCTTCCTCAGGGTCCCCAGCTTTTGCAAAAACCAGTGACGTTGTTTTTCTCAGAGCTTATATTTCAAAACCTGTTTTCACTGAGTTTTTTGTGTGTTCACTTCCCAGCTTCAGTGTGCTCTTTCTCTTTGCTATAGGGACGTTGTAAAGAGAGAGTCTTACACCATTTCTACTATCTTGTGAGTGTGATCTTGTGTAGATCAATTATGAGGGAGTGTGATCTTGTTGTAGATCAAACTGTGTAGTGTGAGATCGTGAGGGGATCGCTGTGTAGACGAAGTTCCGGCTTCCAAACCGGGTTGTGTAGTGGATTTCTCCTCGAGAGTGGGGAGCGGGGACGTAGGTCAGCGGACCGAACCTCGTTAACATATCGCGCGTCACAGGATAACGATTCCTAACTCTATCTCCTCTATTTTGATTGCTTTGGTATACTGTGGTTTGCTTGTCTTATTTTTATTGCATAATTATAGCCTCTTGACCCTAATCACCCCCCCCCCTCTAGGGTCCAACAATAAAGATTGCCTACGTATCCTCTTGCCCAAGGAATCAAGCATTCACGTAGTTCACCCAAATGGCCGCGAACGACCTCAATCAAATAGAAGAGTTCGCAACCCTTCTCCAATATCATCAACTCTGCGGATGATAGCATCTCCAATGAGCTCAAAGTGTAACGAATCAAACACCTCCACCTGAGGTAAACCAATGGCCATATCCAAACTACATCTATCAGCTGCACTCGAATCAAAACCCAACTCATCATCTGCATCCAAAACCAAATGATTTCCTAACTGTGTCACCTCAGTTGGAATCCTAAACGATACAGTATGATCTGAAGTATGTGGAGTAATCTCCACCCAATGTGAAGTAGCATCAATCTCCACCTGCTACGATACAACTAAGGTCTGTCCAAAACTCTCTACCTGCTGAGAGTCAATTGGCTTCCTCATCGAAGCCTCATCCAAAGTGACACAATCAGACCTATCTTTTAATAGAGTTTTACCTCAAATCACAACAGTTGATAACTCTTTAATAGGATGACTCAAATATATCGAAGCCTTAGTCCAGAACCTCTTCTGCAAACCATTGCTCGACCACAAACACCGATCCTCCTCCAACAAGGCACGGCTCTCCAAATTTGCCACCCTATCTGGTTGACCCAAGATTTCCTTTCCAACGAAGTGTCTCGAAATGCCGTGAGCTCGGCTCCAATACAGAAATAGGTCCATCTTGTACCTCCTACCAAAACCAGAATGAAGTTTCTTCACCTTTCTGTCTATCACACATTTCTTTAATCTGTTGGATACTACTAGGATTTTCTTCAAAGGGGATTTGGTTGCAACCCAAACACGCCTAGAACAGCCACCAACAAAAAAAAATCAAACGCCTATTACCTCCCAATGATGCCCCATTGGAAGGCCCCCAAACATCCACGTGAACTCCTCTAGAACGACCCTTAGCACGGTGAATAGAGGTGCCAAACTTCACATCGGTCTTCTTACTCTTATCAATATGTTCACTGGACTTCAAACTACAGGTCTTCACACCCTCTTTCAATCTATGCGAGGAATCAATACTGGAATGGTCAAGCCCTAAATGCCACAGTCTAGTCGAATCAATAGAAATCGTCACTTCTCCACCTACCACTATACCTCCAGTCAAGTAATACATGTTATTTTTCCTGACGTCCTTCATCACAATCCGAGAGTCTTCCACAATCTTGAGAACCATGTCCTCAATTCGAACATTCAGACCCTCTCCAACCAAAGCTCTAATCGAGATTAAGTTCTTTCTCAAAGAAGGGACATATCTCACATCATTTAACTCCCTAACAGTCTCGTCAAATATTTTTATGCGAATTATTCCTATCTTAAGGATCTGCCATACACGGTTATTAGTCATGTATATCACACCACTATCCAGCTTCTCAAAACTGGAGAACCATTCCCTTCTAGGACACACATGATAGGTCGCACCACTATCCAACATCCACTCGGATTCCTCCGAATAGCTACATGTAGGACTGATAGAAAGCGAATAAATAGAAGAGTCAGAAATATTACCATCCGATACGATATTTGCTTCTGATGATGGTTGCTTCTCTTTTCCCTTCTGCTTATTCTTCATCCATTCGTCGAGCTATTCGGCAGTCTTTCTTCCAATGATCAGTCTCCTTGCACCAAGCACACTGATCTTTTCTAATTATAGGATGTCCTATTCTAGACTGTGACTTCCAATTCTTTCAGTTTGGACTATTCCCTCTTGCGGTCAATGCCTCTGCAACCGACTTAGTCGAAGTCTCCTTATCCTTCTTCCGAAGCTGATAATTCACCAGTGCAGCAGTGACCTCACTATACGAAAGAGATGCCTTCCCATTAATCAGAGTAAGGACGAAGATCTCATATTCCTGCAGTGACCTCACTATACGAAAGAGATGCCTTCCCATTAATCAGAGTAAGGACGAAGATCTCATATTCCTTGTCAGGCAAGGAACTCAACAACATCAACACCTTGTCCTCATCTTCAATCATGACATCCACATTTACCAAATCCGCAAGAAGCTTTGTGTAGGTGTTCATGTGATCTCTAATTGAGGTTCCCTTCTTCAACTGGAAACGATAAAGTCTCCTCTTCAAATGCAAGCGGTTCTCAACATTCTTTGTCAGATACTTGCTTTCGAGAATCTCCCAAATCTTCGTCTCATTCATCACATCATATTTTAGATCTTGAGTCAAACAATACCTAATCACACTATACGTCGTTCGATTCATATTCTTCCAAACATTCTCTTCAATGTCATCTGGCTTGCCATCTAACTCCAAGGTATCCTCCAAATTCTGCGTATTCAACGCATCCAAAACCTCGCATCTCCATAATCCAAAATTGTTTGTGCCATTAAACTTCTCCACATATATCTTCATAGAGTGGATATTCAAACTCTGAATGGTCTTCGCGCCAGAAGCACTACCCTCGACACCCGAAGCACCTTCTTTTCCCGATATCTTTCTCAACGCACCAACGAACGAAGAATAGATCCAAAACTAAAAAAATAGTCTTTACCAAAAGATCACACCTTTATCACCAAACGAAGCCTTAGACGAGCCTCCAAATTGATCTACTCCTCCAACCAAACCCTGGATCTGGAACCTAGGCTCTAATACCACTTGTTGCGCACAGCGAAAATTTCAGCAGAGTTTCTGGTGCACAATAAGTGAGAAAGACCAATAAGAATTCCTGTCTCACCAAGGAAACAAGAATCTGAAGCAAATATCTCAACAAAGTGAGATATCGGCTCTTCCTCTCATCAGTTCTAGGACTGACTTGTCGAGGGATCCTAAAAACTATTACAATTGCCACAAACACAAACAAACTAATTTTACGTGGTTTGGCAAACTGCCTACGTCTACGGGGTAAGGAGGGGGGAGATCTACTATTAGAGGGAGAGATACAACTAGGGTTTACAATCTCACAACCTAAACCCTCTCACAATCTCTCAAATCCCTTACACAAATACTCTCTCAAAGAGACCACTGTTTTTCTTTACCAAGTACAGCAGAAAATCACTGTTTTCCCATCTGTACGAAGCCACACGCCATCTCTGTTTCTCCCTCTGATCTTGTACGCGCTTTTCTCCTACAGCCGCAAAAACCAAAGCACCTTGCTCGCAAACCTTTTGCTTTTTCTCTGCAGCCGCACAAACTCCTTCTGCACCACCGAAAACCTAGAAAAACCAGGTATTTATAGGCCCTCACACCTTGAGCTTTTCACGGGTTATTCCTTGAGACCTGATCTTTTCAGGTGACCTTCTTCAAAGCTTGTGGTCCCACACGAAATCAACAAGCACATGGGCCTCCCACACGCAATCACCCATTAGGGATAAAATTATGCCACATCACTACCAAGTTGCTTGGAGCAACTTGGTACCAAGTTTCTCCATTTTTGTCTATATATATATATATATATATGAGGAAGTAAGGGGGTTTTTATGCAAAATTATTAGAGGGGTCTAATAGCATAAATACACATCAAAACCTCCCCATCTTCAACTCTCCAACCCGTCCTCTGTTTGCAGCCGCTCTCACATATTAAAAAAAAAAATTTGAAAACCCTCTCTCTGACCTCTCTCTTCTTCGGATCTTCCTGCCGTGGGCCGTGTCCCGTCCTTGTCGCCTTGTCCTCCTCCCTCCCTCTCGGCTCTCGCCCGCCGGCCGCCGGCCCGCCTCCATTGACCAAGCCAAGGTTAGGGTTTCACTTCTTCTCTTCTTTACTTCTATGCTCCTTTTGACAAGATCGTGAATTGATGTAGAATTTTTGATTTATTGTAAGTTCTTAGTTCTCACTAGGGTTTAGGAAGTAGGGCTTTGTGGAATTAGGGTTTAAGAATTAGAGCTTTGTAAAATTAAAATTGAAATTGATTAGGGCCTAAATTGAAATTGAAATTGGAATTAGTTCTCACTAGATTTTATTGTTTAATTTCAAATTTCAATTTAAATATTTGATATATTTTAGTCCCTAACATGCTTTTTGGTAGGAATCCTTGATTAATTTATTTTTCTCGATATTTATTAGATTGTAGCAGATTCAGAATTAAATTTGGATATCATGCCTCCTCGAAAGTATATGTCTGGACATGATAAGCGGATAAAGAAACAAAAAATTGAAGAATTCAATCGATCTCAAGCGGGAGCACTTGAAAAATTTATTACTTGTAGTAGAAATATATATTCTAATAAAGTTCAAGATTCGGTGAATGTTGAAAATGAGCAACCTGAAAATCAAGAAAGCGAGGATTTGGTTAATGAAAATTTGAATGAGAATAGAAATTCCATTGAAGAAGGTGAAGAACATGAATATTCTAATGAGAATAGAAATTTGAATGAGAATAGCAATGTAAATGAACATGAAGAAAATGTAAATGAACATGAAGATTTGGTACAAGAAGAAAACCTTGAAAGAAGGCCTTCAAACATAAATGACCCAGGAAATTAGAAAAATATTGATCAAAGATTGAGAGACTTACTGGTTGAAAGAAAAATATTGATCAAAGATTGAGAGACTTACTGGTTGAAAGAGGTCCCAAAAGAAATGATAATCTTAATTTTCCAAAAGATTCAGAAGGCAGACATTTCTCCTCAACACATTACATTTGTAACTTATCCAATGGTGAATATCATGATAGAAAATGGATAATCTATTCAAATTCTTTGGACAAGGTTTTTTGTTTTTGTTGTAAGTTGTTCAAAAATGATGCAAACAAAATTCAATTGGCAAATGATGGAGTTAGAGACTGGAGAAATCTCAGTGCCAGACTTAAAAATCATGAAACAAGTAGTGAACACATTGTTAACATGAAGAGTTGGATTGAATTAGAGATCAGATTACGACAAAATGCGACAATCGATAAAAGTGTTGAAGAACAAATCAACAAAGAACGAGAACATTGGAGAAAAGTACTATTGAGAGTAGTTGCTGTTGTGAAAACACTTGCTAAAAATAGTTTGGTATTTCGTGGAGATAATGAGAAGCTTTATGAAGAAAATAATGGAAATTTTTTAAGTATAATAGAAATGATTGTCGAATTTGATCCAATAATGAAAGAGCATGTTCGTCGAATTCAGGAGAAAAAAATTCATTATCATTATCTTAGTCACAAAATTCAAAATGAATTTATTCTTCGAATAGCAGATGAGATCAAAAGTTTAATCATCCAAAAGATTAAAGAAGCAAAGTACTTTTCTGTTATTCTTGATTGTACTCCGGATGCAAGCCATGAAGAGCAAATGTCACTTATATTAAGATGCGTGAATATTTCAACAAGCCCAATAAAGATGGAGGAGTTCTTTTTTAGGATTTTTAAAGGTGGATGATACACCAGGACGAGGACTTTTTGAAGAACTTGTAAATATTTTGCAAGAGCTTAAACTTGATATTGGTGATGTAAGAGGACAATGGTATGATAATGGTTCTAATATGAAAGGAAAACATAAAGGTGTACAAAGAAGATTATTAGAGATAAATCCTAGAGCATTCTACACACCTTGTGGTTGTCATAGTCTTAACCTTGCACTTTGTGATATGGTAAACTCTTGTTCGCAAGCTTCATCTTTTTTCGGAGTGGTGCAGCGCATATATTCATTGTTTGCATCTTCTACAAAGCGGTGGAAAGTTCTTACAGATAATGTTAAAGGTTTCACACTTAAGCCACCATCACAAACTCGTTGGGAAGGTCAAGTTGAAAGTGTTAAAGCAATAAGATTCCAATCTCCAGATATAAGAGATGCTTTGATTTACTTAGCAAGTTATAGTGAAGATCCCAAGACAAAAAGTGATGCTAAGTGCTTAGCAACATATGAAATTGAGAATTTTGAGTTCTTACTTGGTATGGTTATTTGGTTTGATATTTTGAATGCTATTAACAAAATAAGTAAAATCATGCAATCAGAGGATATGCAGATTGATGTTGCTATAGACCTTTTAAGAGGGCTCATTTCTTTTTTTGAAAGCTACAGAGAAAATGGATTTGAAGCAACTATGGTTGAGGTGCAGTTAGAATGAAAGTTGAACCCATTTTTCGTGAACGTCGCATCATTCGTAGAAAGAAACATTTTGATGAAAATGCTAGTAAAGAGATGGCAATGACAGCTGAAGAATCCTTTAGAGTCAATTACTTCATATATATCGTTGATCAAGCTCTTTCTTCACTCAAGAGTAGATTTGAACAGTTTCAACAGTATGATGAATCTTTTAGTTTCTTATTTAATTTGGAGAGGTTGAAGTCTGCAGATAATAATAGTTTGAAGTGTTCATGTCTTAACCTTGAAGATCTCCTAAAGCATGACAAAAATTTTGATATTAATGGGACAGAATTATTTTCAGAACTCCAAATCTTAAGAGAAGCATTACCAAGAGGAACAAAAAAAGCAATTGAAGTATTGAATTTTATGGAAAGGCTAAATTGTTGTTTTCCAAATGCTTGGATTGCTTATAGAGTATTATTGACAATACCAGTTACAGTTGCATCGGCCGAGAGAAGCTTTTCAAAGTTGAAGCTCATCAAATCTTATCTACGGTCAACAATGTCACAAGAGAGATTGAATGGATTGGCTATGATATCTATCGAAAAAAATTTATTGGCGAAGCATGATTAGAACATTTTAATTAATAATTTTGCAGCTCAAAATGCAAGGCGATCACATTTAATGTAGTATGAATTGTGTTATTTATAAAGCATCAAGAAGTTTTTTGATTTTAATATTAATACGATTATGTGCTTATTGTCTCATTTTAATAAAAAATATTTTGCTATCTTATAAAAAATTTTGTGTATGGAATATTGTATATAAAAGCCCCTCATTTGAAAGCTTGATTACGGCCCCGTGAAAAATTAAGAATCTCAGGGCCGGCCCTGTCTTTATGCTACGCAAGTTAGGCGTCCAGAAAGCAAGAAGAGGATGAACAAGGAGTTAGGTGAAAATATTCTAGAGGTCGATTGTAAATATTTAGGTTTGGGAGGTTATTCTTGACAAAGTTTACTTTCCTCTCTCCGTTTTGGTTTCCTGTAAGTTTTGTTCTTCGAAAATAATTCGGTCCAAAACCGAAACCGAACCGAACCGATCCGAATTTCGGTTGGACCAAATATTCGGATGAAGGGGAAAAACTCTGGATCTGGATGAGAGTTTTGAGAATTCGAAAAATTCGGATTGGATACGGATTGGGCTTAAAACCGAACCGAACCGAATATGCCCAGCCCTACCTATGGAGCGTTGATCTGGTACTCTATTGATGCACCAATTAAGACAAATGATCTTTTGTTGTTGATGGGAATTAAATTGCTTGGAAGCTATCTTATCTTAGCAATATATCTCAATAAAATCACAAGTGCGATGCATTTGTTGACTCTTCTACCCAACCTTTTTTTTCTTCGACCACTCAAAATGGATGAACTTTGGTGAGGTATCGCTTGAAAGATGCTTGCCATGGAAGGTCACTGGGGGACGGTGGGCAGGGTCGCTTCAAACGTGTACGACGCCTTCTTCAAAAGTGGATGACTTGGTCTACGTGGGGAAGCTTATTAGTCGCGCAAAACTTCACCTATGAGTTTGAAATTGACTTAGAATTCAACTCTAGGCTTTAGCCGATTGATGATTCCTTTCGACTTGATCTGAGGCATGTTGCAGGGGTCGATTCATGCCTGACTTGGTCGAATTGAGTCGATACAGGCCTCTTAGTGAGGTTCGCTTTCGTCATTAGGTGACATTCGATGTAGCTTGCTGTGGGCTTGACTTTTGGTCTATTCAAAGTGTTAGCCCAAGGGCGTTTAGTTCTGGATCTAAGCTGATCATCCGCCTAAGTGAAAATACATTTTAACCATCTACAAGCCCTCCCCAAAAGTTTTCAAGATCCTACATTTTAATTTGTAGGTACGATTGAAATACTTTGGGTAAATAGCCAGAGGTGTATGTTGTGACGCTGGCTTGATTATCTTGATTAGCTAAAAACTTGTTTTCATATGCCTACTTGGGTGCCCGAGGTGCAGTGTTGAACGTAGCTTCCTTTGTTGTAGACTTGTATCGTAGGATTGATGGTGCTTGTACTCGTCCAAATACATGCTTGGAATGAAATTCTCCTTTTCTGTTGTTGAGGCGATGTTGAGGAAATCAGTGAAGTTTGACTAATTTTCGGTGTGAGTAAGGGTCGCTCAATTTCGGGCTGTTGGGTAAAGTTAGTCGATTAGCGATGTTTGCTAGCTGGGTGAGGGTCAGTTTGATTTGAGCTATGTTGGAGAAGTTCCTCATCTGACAATGTTCGTTAGCTTGGTAAAGTTTGTTGAGATTCACCTTTGGATTTGCGCCGTGGATTAGTGGCTAAGATCTCTTGATTGAAGATCTCACGAGATTCACTGTGAATTTGACCGAATTTTTGGCTAAGACTTAACCTCTTTGTTTGGTCCAATTAAATCTTAAAAATTGTGATTTTCTTAGGAGTTAGATTTAAAAAAGGCTACAAATAGTAGCCATCCCCATCCATTTTCACTACCTCTACCATTTTCTTCTTCTTTCTCTTCTCCATCTCTATGACACTGTCGCATAGGCCGGAGATGCTCCTCAAGAGAGGAGCTAAAATCAAAAGACTCCAACAGGAGTTAGCCTAAATAAAGATTAATCAAGCGTATGAACTCTACATACTCTATTGTCTGGCGGAGTTACTGTCGATCGAGAAAGAGATGCCTGAGGGGATCATCGAGAATCAATCGATAGCTTGGGGCGAGCTAAATAGAGATAAAGACCCGTGGAGCTTTGAGTGCCAAGCTCTGCATAAGACTGTTCGGCGACTGAAATAGCGCTTGAAGAAGGATCCTTGGATGTGTTAGGTCTCATGTTTATGAGCCTACTATCTAATTTAGTTTAGATGATTAACAAACAATTCCTAACAACGTTTGTTGAGTGTTTCCATTTGTTTGTTAGACATTCTACACAAAGATCCTCAGTCGTAGGTTTGGTTGGACTTGCGCCTATACGATCATATCCGTTGGAGGATGGAAGAAAATTGGAGTGCAGCCGTCACAATTCAAGTCAAATATGAGATCGTGCTCACATTTAGTTGCCTTATTTATTTTTGATTTAAGATTTTTTGATACGGGGAACCTTCCCTATCTCTTTCCTTGTGTGTACTCACCATGTCTTTTTGATAGGGGAGCTTTCGCTCTCTTATTCTTATTATTTTCCCCATTTTGATGTTGACAAAGGGAGAGAAATAAGTCAATTGTGAGTATATCATTCTATTGGTTTTATGCATGAGTATTATAATTTGTATATTTATTTGGTATCATGCATATTCTTATATCTTTTTGTATAGATTGTTTGTCAACATAAAAAAGGGGAAGATTGTTAGGTCTCATGTTTATGAGCCTACTATCTAATCTAGTTTTGATGATTAACAAAGAATTCCTAACAACGTATGTCGAGTATTTATATTTTCTTATTAGGTATTCTACACAAAGATCATCAGTCAGAGGTTTAGATGGACATGCGCCGACACGATTATATCTATTGGAGGATGAAAGGAAATTAGAGTGAAGCCATTGCAATTCAAGTCAAATAAGAGATCGTGCTTCATCCCTTACCAAGCTTTGTTCAACATCGAGCTCAAATGAAGACTTTTAGCTTGGGTATATTGTTTCTTGTTTAGTTGTGTACTTTATGTGTTAATACTCAAAGCTCAACGTTTTTACACATACACGTTTTCGTTTTATAGCCTTCAAGTTTATTCATATAAATACGAAATACACGTTTTCGTTTTATAGCCTTCAAGTTTATTCATATAAATACGAAACAAATAGTTATATGTATATACATACATACTCGTTTCATATTTATCATCTTGGTTTTGGAAAATAATGTGTTTATAAATAAAAGACTTGTTTACACTATTTTAAAATATTTCAAAACTTATTTGAAGAAATTTTATCAAAATCAAGTATTTCCGAACTTGTATTTTTGACGATTTTGCAAAATAACGAGTTTTCACAAACGGTTAATGAGATGTCAAAAATTTCTTCTCCAACATATTTGTTTTCATATTTATAATCATTCCCCAAAATTTTACTATTTTTAGAGTTTATTTGTTATTTTAATTTGATTTTACAAAGTTAGATTTTTCAACTTTAAAACCTGTGTCTGGGAGTTTTAGTTTCGGTCGACCGGGTCTTACCCTTCGGTCAACTGGCCAGAAAATGTTTTTTAGTAGTTTTGTTCTTAGGGTTATTAGTCGATCGAAACATATGTATCGGTCGACCGATAAGCACCCTTCGGTCGACCGACCGTTGATAATCGGTCGATTGACATTGTATCTGTTGCAGGCAACGACTAGTTTTCCAGAATCCGGTTTTTTTGGGATTTTATCTATTTTCTTTGGCTTTGGGCTGTTGTCTTGAGAACATATAAATACCCCTCAGCCATCAACACTTAAAAACTGCTAAGAAAAGTTTAAAATCAAGTTTTGGGAAGTTTGTTTAAAGTTTTTGAGAGTTTTCTCAAGTTTGTTGATGTGAAGATAGTTTCACAAAGAGAATGATTTGATTTTCAATATTGAGGAGCTCATCATAAACCATCTACATCTCTTTGTTTGAGAAGTTTTCTAAACTCCTTTTATCTAGCTTGTTCATATTTTAATGATTACATTTATTCGTTAGATTAATTTGAGTTTAGTTTCATTATTACTTATTATTTTTACACATAACCACTTGAGATTAAAGTATTTTTCACATATTGTATAATTTGGTTGTGGGTGTGATTGAGTGAGCTTACACTTAGTTCTCATCTTTGTAATAGAGAACAAACTATTTTTATTGTGCTTAATTGTTAAGATCACATTGTAATACACAAGGACACTTAGAGGAGTGGTTGGTGAAAGACGGTGTCAATTCGAAGAGGTGTGGAATTAGTTGTAAATCCTAGGGAGAGGTTGTAATTCCGAGCACTTGAGGAAGGTGACACGGGATAGGCAGATACTTAGAGGAGCGTATTGTGTATTGATAATTGTGTGAGTTGTAAACGTTTATTTTGAGCGTTGAAAACTGATTGTGTAGCTTTTTGTGTTGATAGTAGAGATTCTCCTCGAGGGTGAGGAGCGGAGATGTAGGTCGAGGGTGACCGAACTCCATGATCATTTGTTTGTGTTTGGCATTGGCGCTCTTATCATTGTCTCATTGGTTATATCGCCTTTTGCTCATTGTATATCCTTGTATATTTTATTGTATATCAAATTTGCTAGGATATTGTATTAGAAGTTTTTGTTTGGCATTAATATCGGATTAGATTAGCAATAACCCTATTCACCCCCCTCTAGAGTACTTTTATTTGGTATCAAAGCTTGGTGCTCTTTGATTTGTGGCTTAATCGCCTAGAGTCAAAGATCCTCACTTTGATTTATTGCTAGTCTAGTTTTGTGATTTTATCTTGCTTGCATTTATATCATGGATATGCACAGTACATCTAGTTTAGGCTATGACATTAATATTGCTCCTAAGTTCAATAATTTTTCTTATGCTCAATGGTGTTTTAGATTTTAACTATTTGTTAGATCTAAAAATATCGATTTGTGGGAAGTTATTAATTATGCTTATGTTGTGCCCACCTTGGAGAAATCC